TTACCATCTGGCCCTTTATGGGAAAAGATTGCTGACTCTTGGTCTAGGCCATCAGCCTACATGACCATGTAGGTTGTCCTACATACAGCTAGGAACAGATTGACTTAGAAGGATACAAAACAAAAAAATTCAGCAGGGCAGTGTCTGCAAGTCTTCACAGTAGACTCAGAGCTTAGGTGTGAGGGAATGAGACCACACAGGTAGGTATGGAAGCCACCCTGGCCTAGGACCCCCGTTCCCCCAGGAACACATCCAGTTTCAAGAATGTCCTAGTCCAGAGGCATTGTACTAATCACAGGTCATAAGCAGTGTTGCCTGTAAGATAGCTGACATTCGACGAGATTTCTAAACAGTTCTAGAAAGTTAACCCGTCGATGTTAAGTCCTGTTTCGTTGCTGGGCACTTAGGTGGTTTTCAATTTAGTAATATCACAGTTAACACTGCTCTGTTGCTTCCTAAGGGTGCATTCCTAGGAGTGGAATTCTGGCTGCTGCTTCAGTTGTCATAAGCCTTCCAAAAGATCTCTATTAGTTTAAAAGTCCTCCCACCCTGAATTGAGTAGGATGCTAAGAAGTCCTGAGCTCAGAGACTGGAGTGTACAGTGAGTCAATGAGGCAGACGAAGGTGGAAATATGATTTCCTGGATGACGTACCGGTGACTGTGGGCTGTGGGTCACAAGGAGTCCTAAGCCTAGGACAGTACACTGAAGCTAGAGATGTAGGATTCAGATTTAACATGATGAGTGGGATGATCACTGGCCTCTTCCCTGAGCCTAGTTATATTGTAGTCAGGAGTCTCTTAAAGGAGTTTATTTTAGGACAAGTAAAAATAAATTCTGGGCTGGGCTTGGTGGCTAATGCCTGTAATCCCAGCACTTTGGGAGGCTCAGGCAGGCGGATCACAAGGTCAGGAGATTGAGACCAGCCTGGCCAACATGGTGAAACCCCATCTCTACTAAAATACAAAAAATTAACTGTAGTCCCAGCTACTTGGGAGGCTGAGGCAGGGGAATCACTCGAATCCGGGCGGCAGAGGTTGCAGTGAGCTGAGATTGTGCCACTGCGCTCCACCTGGGCAATACAGCAACTCTGATTCAGAGAAAAGAAAAAATCCTGGCCAGGTGCAGTGGCTCTTGCCTGTAATCCTAGCTGTTTGGAAGGCTGAGGCAGGAGGATCGCTTGAGGCCTGGCATTCAAGACCAGCTGGGCAACATAGTGAGACCCTCAACTCTTAAAAAAAAGGAAAAAAGAAAATTAGCTGGTTGTGGTGGTGTGCACCTATATCCCCAGCTACTCAGGAGGCTGAGGTGGGGGGTTTGCTCGAGCCCAGAAGTCCAAGGCTGCAGTGAGCTATAATTATGCCACTGCACTCTAGCCCAGGTGACAAAGGGAGACCCGCATCTTGAAAAAAAATAAAAATAAATAAATCCTATTTTATATAGTGAGAGCACGTGCACCTATGAAATTGTTTCTTCCAGGGTTAGTATAGGGTGAAAGAATAAACAGCCTCCTGAAGGGTTTGGCAGAATTCATCACTGTAGAGGCTTACACATCTTGTCAAAGAAAATAGGTATTTCCTGGTAACTTTCTAACCTGTATGGTTAAAAAATAAAAATTAAGATTCTGCATTATGGTTTTTTTTGTTTTGAGATGGAGTCTTTCTTTGTTGCCCAGGCTAGAGTGCAGTGGCGAGATCTTGGCTCATTGCAACTTCTGCCTTCCAAGAGCAAGTTCAAACGATTCTCCTGCCTCAGCCTCCTAAATAGCTGGGACTACAGGCGTGTGCCACCACACTGGCTAATTTTTCTATTTTTAGTAGAGATGGGGTTTCACCATGTTGACCAGGCTGGTTTTGAACTCCTGACCTCAGGAGATCCACCTGCCTTGGCCTCCCACAAGGGCTGGGATTACAGGCATGAGCCATCACACCTGGCCTCTGCATTATGTTTTAGACATAATTCTGTAATTACAGTTTCTTTTTTTTTTTTTGAGACAGAGTGTTGCTGTGTGGCCAGGCACCAGGCTGGAGTGCAGTGGCGCAGTCTCGGCTCACTGTAACCTCCGCCTCCCGGGTTCGAGTAATTCTCCTGCCTCAGCCTCCCAAGTAGCTGGGACTACAGGCACGTGCCACCACACCCAGCTAATTTTTGTATTTTTAGTAGAGATGGAGTTTCACTGTGTTGGCCAGGATGGTCTTGATCGCTTGACCTCGTGATCCACCTGCCTCGGCCTCCCAAAGTGCTGGGATTACAGGTGTGAGCCACCATGCCTGGCTACAGTTTCTTTTTACTTGCCTAAACTGCACAAAGAGGAAAACAAAATTGTGCTACTGATCAAATTAATTGGTGCAAAATCAGTGATTTTTAATGAATTAAATATTCAAGGTTCATAAGCAAATCAACTTTGTATATAAACATAACGTCAAGCAAATAAGTATAGTTCTTTGTACAAATATTTTAACAAAGATAATTTTCTATAACAAAGATTTATAGACCCAAGGTTGCAAATTATTGGTCCTTGGAATTATTAAAACAAACCTTCTAATGTTACAGGCAAGATCTTTATCCTTCTTGTTAAATAGATTTGGACCAAAATTTAACTTTGATGATATGATATAGAATATTTATGTTATGTAGCTTATAATTTCATAGTAACTGCTATGTATTAATAAATATTTACTAATTTTATCTTTTTCTTTTCCTAAGCCTGTGTTTGACAAGCTGTTTCTGTAAAGGTTCAAATAGTAAACATTTTAGGCCTCATGGGACAATAGGCAAAATCTAGGGTATTATGTGGGTACTTACATAACAAGAGACAAAACCACCCTGTCCCATCCTGCTTGCCTGGGGAAGGGGCCAGGTTTCAGGTAGTGGGCATGATTTGTCTCAAAAGGAGTGGGTATGTTGGCCGCTGGGATAATTTTCACTCTCTGCTTTAGTGATACCCAGATTCTGATGTGCCCTTTCCTTCTTATGGATGGCTCAGCTGTTTCAGCTTGGGTGGCTAGCTGGAGGTGACACAGCTCAGTGAGGCAGCTCACTTAGTGTCTAGCAGTTACCAGCAGTGGAGTCCCCAACATGTAGGTCCCAGTGAGCACAGGTCCTGGGCAGTTGCAAGTCACTGCCACCAGTTAGGGGAGGCAAGGACTAAGAGCAGAGTGAGGAAAAGGAGTAGGAGGGGATACTGTAGCTTTGCCTTTGCAGCCCACAGTGCTAGCCTCCTCAAGAGGTGTTCATGGGCCATATAAAAATAGGCAGCAGACTGGATTTGGTCGTAGTTTGCCCACACTTGATCTAGCCTTTAGCCTTCTTGCTTTGGGCCCTGCCTTGTGTGTCCCAGAGTAGTAATCCAAAGAAGATACGTCTCAGGGTGGGTATTCCTAGCTCTACTGCTTCCCTTGCAGGATCAAACCAGAAGATGCCATGGACTTTGGCATCTCTCTTCTCTTCTATGGCCTCTACTATGGAGTTCTTGAACGTGACTTTGCAGAAATGTGTGCGGACTACATGGCATCTACCATAGGGGTGAGTTCATCCGAGTTCTTAAATAGTGCTTCTTGACACTGCCACATTATTCAAGTTGACATCACTTGTTTAATGGAAGAGAAAGGCAGTAAAGGGTGAGATAAGCCACGTAAAATCCTTCAAGGTGTGGGTATGCATGGACATTCCTTCCTTAAAATTTGGAAAGCCACACAGCCATACAAAAGAATAAAACCATGTCCTTTGCAGCAGCATGGCAGCTGGAGGCCTTTATGCTAAGCCGGTTAACATAGGAACAGAAAACCAAATACCTCATGTCCTCGCTTATAAATGGGAGCTAAACATTGGGTATTCATGGACCTAAAGATGGCAACGGTAGACACTGGGGACTACTAGAGGCGGAGCGAGAGGGGACAAGTGGTTGAAAAACTGTCTGTTGGTTACTGTGCTCACCACCTGGGTAATGGAATCATTTGTGCCCCAGACCTCAGCATCACACAGTTATACCCATGTAACAAACCTGCACGTGTATCCCCTGAATCTAAAATAAAAGTTAAAATTATTTTTTAAAACAAATTTAGAAAGCCAGATCTCAGATGTGCCCTAGAATTTTTCTCTTTAGGACCATTATAGAAAAGAGCCACTTTATCCACCAGGAAGTTAATATTCAGTAAATACTTTTTTTCTTTTTTGAGATAGAGTCTTGCTCTGTCAGGCTGGAGTGCAGTGGAAGAATCTTGGCTCATAGCAACCTCCACCTCCCAGGTTCAAGTGATTCTCCTGCCCCAGCCTCCCGAGTAGTTGGGACTACAGGCCTGGCTAATTTTTGTATTTTTAGTAGAGACGGGGTTTCACCATATTGGCCAGGCTGGTTTCGAACTTGTGGCCTTGTGATCCACCTACCTCAACCTCCCAAAGTGCTGGGATTACAGGTGTTAGCCACTGTGCTCGTTCCATTCAGTAAATGCTTTGTAATGCCAGCTTTGTGCATAGACACATAGCCATATGCAAGAATTACAAAAGTGTACAAAAATAAACATGGGCTGGGTGTGGTGGCTGAAGCCTATAATCCCAGCACTTTGGGAGGCCGAGGCGGGTGGATCACGAGGTCAACAGATCGAGACCATCCTGGTCAACGTGGTGAAACCCCATCTCTACTAAAAATACAAAAAATTAGCTGGGCATGGTGGCGCATGCCTGTAATCCCAGATACTCAGGAGGCTGAGGCAGGAGAATTGCCTGAACCCAAGAGGCAAAGGTTGCGGTGAGCTGAGATCGCGCCATTGCACTCCAGCCTGGGTAACAAGAGCGAAACTCTGTCTCAAAAATAAATAAATAAATAAACATGGTTTTTGCCCAGATACAGTTTACTCTTTTGGTGGTGGAGAGATGGATGTTAAAATAACAAACACAGATAAAAATAAAATTACAGCTTGAATAAGCGTTATGTGACCGACCTACCCTCTGCGGGAAGACTGAGCTCGTTGGGAAAGAAACCAGACCGTAGGCTAGAAGAAAATCCTTAAGTTCAGGCTTTATTGAGAGAAAAGAGCCTCCGGGCGGGCCAGCCAGGACGAAAAGGAAAAATGGCAGCGCCGCTCAGAGGGGCAGGGTTGTTTTATAGGGGGTTGAAGGGCTGAGGGAGTGGGGAAGCTGAGAAAGCCGAGGTGGTGGGCAATGTTTGGTCAGTTTGAACCGCTGAGCGGGAAGCCGGGCGGCAGGAAGCCGGGGCGGCAGGAAGCTGGGGAGTGCTGATGAGGCAGAAGCTGGGCGGCGGGGAGCTGGGGAGTGCTGATGAGGCAGAAGCTGGGCGGCGGGGAGCTGGGGAGTGCTGATGAGGCAGAAGCTGGGCGGCGGGGAGCTGGGGAGTGCTGATGAGGCAGAAGTGGCGGGAGGTGGCTGCGGCCGGGCGGGAGGGCTAGGGCGGTATGTAGAGTGAGAGATAAGGGAGCCTCTTTGTGGGGGAGGGAAAGAGAGAGCTTTCACGGTAGGGGCAGAGTTTTCCAAACATTCCCGACTCCTTAAAGAAAAGAAAAAGAGGGGGTCAGGGGCATCGGTTGTCTCTCTGGCTACTTCCTGCTGACAAGGGTCGACGGGGGGTTCTGAAGAGGTCTCTTTTCTTAAGGAGCCTGGATGTTCCAGGAGAGGTCTGCTTCTAGCACTCGTTCAGGGTAAGGTTGGAGCAGCATCTGGTGGATGGTGACTTGAGTCAGTTCTTGAAAGTGCCGCTGTAGGAACTGTAGAAAGCAAGGAGCAATAAGTAAGATTAGGCAAACGGCTACTAGGGGCCCAAGCAATGGGGACAAGAGGGTATACATAGAGGAAGACCACCACGCTGTGGCTTCAGCCGAGAACTTCTGATTCTGCAGGTTAGTTTTGAGTTTCTGGAGGCTCTCGATTCGGGTTTCTACTAGGCCGGATTCATTGATGTAGTAACAGCACTCTTCTTGTAGGAAGATACAGGTCCCTCCTCGTTCAGCAGTGAGCAGGTCTAGGGCTCTTTGGTTCTGCAAGGCAACTTGGGCAACTGAGGTGATCTGTCGTTGGAGTGATGCTAAAGACTCAGTAGAGTCCTCAGTAGCCACTTGGAATTGTGAGGTCAGTCGGGCTATGGCCAGGTGAGAGTGGACTAGTGCCCCTCCTCCTAATCCTGCTGCAAGTGCTGAACCAGCAAGGGAGACTCTAACGGCAATGGGTAGGAAGGCAGCTTGTTGGGTGCGGCGATGGGGAGTTTGCAGCATCTGGAATTCGGCTGGGGAATATATAGTGAGTCGAGGGACTAGGGTTACTGGGAGGCATAAAAGAGATGAGGAAAGACCAATGTAGAGAGTTTTTGTTAAGGTCCTGTTACACCAAAAAAACGTTCCTCGTGGGGCTGTTATATTAGTGGTTACCAGTATAGTTCGGTTACAGCTAGGGAAGTTTCGGCCTAGGGAATAGCACACAGGTAGCTGTTCAAAATCAGGTGGAGTGTAGAGATTGACTTCCTTGATGGGGGAGAAGGAAGAAGTTGAGGCTGAAAGGTTGAGAGGGTTGGGGTAGGGGACTGCAACGAAGGGAGTCTGTCCTAAGGAGGCACACATGAGGCATGAGGTTAGGTCAGTTAATCCTGAGAGGTTAGCTAACTTGATTCCTTCTTGGAGAAAGGTTAACCAGGAAAACGGAGGCGAATGTGGTTGCAAATGGTCATTCAGAGATTTTTCTTGTAGGCTAATATCAGAGTGGACTTGGTGGACTGTACGTACGTATGCCCGCCAGATGTACAGGTGGGAAGAGGGATATTTGGTATCTATGTGGTTGTACACGGCAGCCTTCTGGGGGCTTTTCCACCGGTTGTCCCAGGGGTCAGGTATGAGAAGGGAATACTGTGTAGAACCGATAATGGTGTTTCCTTCTCCATCTACGTCTGGGATGATTTTGAGCTGAGATCGGGCAGGTACTGTGGACTCGATAGCTATATGTATTCGACAGCTTATCCAAGTACATCCCATGCAGGAGCGCCAAGGAGTATTATTGCATGCTCCTGATGGTTGGTCATGGTTGAAGCACATGACAGGTATAGTAGTATGGACGTTGCGGAATTTGGTGAAGTTCAGATATATGGCACTTTGGCATCTGGCTGCGGGGCAGTCGGAAGTTGCAAGAAGATGGTTGTGGCTGTATTACAGATGAAGGTGGTTTTGGTATAGTTTTCAGTTAGGAAGAATCTCTATCTGTAGGGGGTGTGGCTGCTAGGCCCTGGTAAGTTTGACAGATAAAGGGCCAGTAGGAACAGCCTTCCAGCATAGGGAGGGTCCATGAGGGGCCTTTTTTACCCGAGACAGGTGAACCCAAGATGGGACTTCAGCAATTCTTATAGCTGATGGAGTGGTAAGGAGGACTGTGTATGGTCCTTCCCACTTGGGGGTGAGGGACTTTGGGGAGAGGGACCTGATAAGAACTGAGTCCCCGGGGGAGACTTTCTGTGTATTTTCAGGTGGCTGGGTGAGTTGGGGAAGAGAAGCGTTGGCGTGTTTTCGGAGAAGGCTGCGAAGGAGAGTAAAGTAGGGGAGGTAGCTGTCTAGAGGAGTGGTCTCTGGCGGTGGGGGAGTTGAAAGTAGGAAGGGGCGACCGTACAGCAGCTCAAACGGGCTAAGCTGTGATGGGCCCCGGGGGCTTGCTCTCAACCTGGTGAGGGCGATAGGAAGCAAGGTTACCCAGGATTGGCGGAGCTCAAGCATGAGCTTGGTCAGATGTTCCTTTATTAGGCCATTGGCCCGTTCCACCTTACCAGAGGACTGAGGATAGTAGGCGGCGTGTAGCTTCCACTGAATTCCTAGAGAGGTAGAAACGGCATTAGTGACTTTGGAGATAAAGGCTGGGCCGTTGTCTGACTGTATGGTGGCCGGGAGTCCAAAGCGTGGGATGATGTCTTGGATGAGATGAGTGGCCACTGTCCCGGCAGACTCAGAGGCTGTGGGGTAAGCTTCAATCCAGCCTGAAAAAGTGTCAACAATGGTTAGCAGATACCGGTACTGTTTGTGCTTTGGCATATGGGTAAAATCAATTTGCCAGTCTTGGCCAGGTAGGAACCCGCGTACCTGATGAAACTGGCGCCGGGGATGACAGGAACCCTGGGAATTAGTTTTCGCGCAGACAGTACATGAGGACTGGACTTCCTGTATGGTACTGAGGAGGTGGTGGGGGTGAAAAAGTGGGTTGAGGAACCGGTATAAGGCTTTAGGCCCAATGTGGAGTGAATTGTGGATGTCTTGGATTATCTGGTACTTTTGCTTTTCGGGGAGGATGAGGAGGTTATGCTTGAAGGCCCAGTCATCCTTGAACCGTACCCCGGGGGTAGACTGGAGGGTTTGGAGTTCTGAGGCAGAGTATTGAGGGCTATATGACTTGGACAAGAAACAGAGAGTGGAGGTGAGTGGCGGATGGTTTCTTGCCGTGTCTTTAGCTACTCTGTCTGCAAAGGCATTCCCCGCGGCTACGGGTGAGTTCAGGGACTGATGCCCTTTATGGTGGACAATGGCTACCTTGCTAGGGAGTTGAACGGCTTGGATAAGGGCAGCAATGAGTTTTCCATTGAGAACGGGAGTGCCCTTAGTGGTGAGGAAGCCACGTTCCTTCCAGATCATGCAGTGTGAGTGAGCTATGAGGAAGGCGTACTTGGAGTCAGTATATATATTTACTTCTTTGTTCTGGGACCAGGATAGGGCCCGAGTGAGGGTAAGTAGTTCAGCCTGTTGTGAAGTGGTCCCAAGAGGAAGGGGGCGGGTTTCTATAATTTCAGAGTGAGTTACTACAGCATAGGCTGCCCTCCGTGGGCTGGTGGGATGGGGTATAGAGCTGCCATCAACGAATAGGGTAATGGAGGCAGATGGTAGGGGTTGAGGTAGCAAGTCGGGACGAGGAGACTGGGCTAATTTGAGGATTTCAGTACAGGAATGTAGGGGGCTGGCATGCGGAGGGCAAGGGAGGAGGGTAGCCGGGTTTAATGAGGAGCAGTGAGAAAGAGTGATGTTGGGGTTCTCAATAAATAGTAGGTGAAGCAGTTGGATACGGGAGGGCCCGAGGTGGGGCAGAGAGTGTTGACTGAGCAGTTCAGTCAACCTGTGTGGAGAAAAGACTAGGAGTGGGAGTTGTAGATTGATCTTAAGAGCTTCTGTGGTTAGGGTGACGGCGGCAACTAGGGCTCTAAGACACGGCTGCCATCTTTGCACAGTTGGGTCAAGTTGTCTAGACAGGTAGGCTATAGGCAGAAGGGTCTTTCCTACTGGTTGGACTAGCACTCCTACAGCTGTATGTTGTTTCCCGTCTGTATATAATTGGAAAGGTAAGTTGGGATTAGGCAGGACTAGGCTGGTGGAGGTACATAGGGCATTAAGCAGTGACTTGAACGCCCGGTTGACAGAACCTGGTGAGGAGAGTGGTCCCTCAGGGGCTTCTGCAGCAGCATGGTATAGAGGTTTTGCTAGCAAAGCATAATTAGGTACCCAGTGGCGAAAAAAACCTACTAGTCCTAGGAAGGAGAGGATTTCTTTTGCTGACTCAGGGGCCTGGAGCGCCTTTAAGGCTTGTAGTCGGTTGATTGTGATGGACCGTTGCCCAGGCGTGAGCTGTATGCCTAGGTAGGTGACGGTGGGTGAGGCTATTTGTGCTTTGGTTGGTGACACCTGGTATCCCTTATCTCCTAGGAAATTGAGTAGGGCGGTGGTGGCCTGGATGCACTCCTGGCGGGTGGGGGAGCAGATAAGAAGGTCATCTACGTACTGGAGGAGGTGAGAGGGCTTGAGGTTGCAGTGGAGTAGGTCAGTGGCGAGTGCCTGGCCGAATAGGTGCGGGCTATCTCAGAAGCCCTGTGGAAGGACTGTCCAAGCCAGTTGTTGGGACATGTTCGTAAGGGGATCATCCCAAGTGAAGGCAAAGATAAAGTAGGAATTAGGGTGTAGAGGTATAGTGAAGAAGGCATCCTTTAGGTCTAAGACTGAGAAACAGGTGGTCCCTGGGGGAATGTTAGAGAGAATGGTGTATGGGTTGGGGACAACTGGATATACGGGAATTACAGCTTCATTGACTAAGCGCAAGTCCTGGACCAGCCTATATTGTCCTGAGGGTTTTCGTACTGGGAGGATGGGGGTATTACATGGGGAGTTAATGGGAATTAGGAGGCCTTGACCTTTTAGTTTCTCTATGATGGGTCGGATACCCATATGGTGGGCTTTAGAGAATTGAGGGCGGGAGAGAAAACGAGGCGAGGAGTCTTTAAGGCGGACCTGAACTGGCTGGTGGTGGGTAGCTACAGACAGGTTGTTAATGTCCCAGACCTGAGGATGGATTCCGGGGAGTAGTTCTGACAGGGCTTTTTGAGGTTCGATGTCTGAGGTGAGGGCTAGGAGAAAGAGACTGTGTGGGTTGGCGGAGGGGAAGGTTATGACAGCCTTCAGCTTTGAAAGGATGTCTCGTCCTAGGAGGGGTACTGGGCAGGTGGGGATTACTAAAAAAGAGTGGGCAAATGGAGTATAGTTATATGAGCACATGAGTGGTGGGGTTTGGTAGGGGATACTCGGGGTCCCGTCGATTCCCATGACCGAGACCTGGGAAGGGGTGAGACGGCCAGAATAGGAAGGAAGTGCGGAGTAGGTAGCCCTCGTGTCGAGCAAGAACGAGACACTTTTACCTGCTACCTGAAGTTCGACCCTTGGCTCGGCGAGGGTAATCGGAGTCGGAAAGCCAGGGCCCCGCTAGTCGTCTAGCAGCCCTAATAGACTGGGGAATGGAGCTCCCTCGGAGGTCAGTTCCTGGCAAGCAGGCTCCTCCCTACCAAGGGTGACCACCGGCTGCGTAACGCCAGTGTGTCTGTTTTGAGGAACCGGCACCTGGGGAAGCTGGGGCAGTCTGACTTCCAGTGTCCCGGGAGGTGGCAGATAGGGCAAGGCTTAGTTGGTGGCCGTGGTTGTGGACAGGCTCGGGACCAGTGTCCTTCCTTTCCACATTTGAAACATGCCCCCGGAGGGGCATGGGTTTCGGCCTTGGGCTTCTGGTTCCCTGCCGGCCTTAGAGCCGCCACTAGGGCTTGGGTCTGGAGGGCAGCCTTCTGCTTCATGCGAGTTTGGCGGGCAGCCTCAGCCGCATCTTCCCTGGCATTGAATACTTTAAAGGCCATTTTTACCAGGTCTTGGATGGGAGTCTCTGGCCCCTCTTCTGCTTTCTTTAGTTTCTTTCTTATGTCGGGTGCTGATTGGGAGATAAAATGGGAGGCTAATACAGTGGCCCCGTTTTGGGAGGCTGGATCTAGCCGAGTATACCGGACTAGGGCTTCTTGCAAGCGGGCGAGAAAGAGGGCGGGGTTCTCATCGGGTAGTTGGGTGATTTCTCTCAGTTTATCATAGTTTACAACTTTCTTAGATACAGCATCCATTCCCCTGAGGAGGTATCTAATCATGCGGTCCCTCTTGGGTATATCAGACCCTCGATTAGCCTGATAGTCCCATTGGGGGTCTTCACCTGGGATTGCTTCGGGGCCTAGGGGAATCTGGTTATCTATAGTATGGTCTTTATCTGCTTGATTTCTGGCTGCCGCTAGGATGCGCTCATGCTCTTCTACTGTGAGGGTGGAGGAACAGATAACGCGAATATCATGCCAAGTGAGGCTGTAGGCTTGAGTGAGGTATTGGAATTCCTTAATATAGGTGGACGGGTCGGCTGAGAAGGATCCTAAACCTTTCTCAATTTGCGACAGGTCTTGGAGTGAGAAAGGAACATGGACCCTGACTAAACCTTCAGCGCCTGCCACTTCTCGGAGTGGGGCCAGGATAGTTGGTTGGTGAGAGCAGGTGTGGGCCACCACCGGAGAGGCAAGAGGAAGTGCGGCCTCTGAGGGAGGGGGCTCGGAGGGAGTAGAGGAAGAGCGAGGCATGGCTTCTGAGGTAGGAGGTGCAGAGGGAGCAGAGGAAGAGCGTGCCATTGATGGCGACTGGTTGCTGAGATTGGCAGGAGAGGACAGATGTTCAGGCAGATCCTCTGGTGAGGAGTAGGGAGGAAGAGAGATAGTGGAGGAAGATTTACGAGGGGTACGAGCTAAGAGGATTTGGTAGGTGGAGCAGGAAGAACATAGGTCGGGGTGGGTACGGAGGTCCCAAAAAGCCTGAACATAAGGAATTTCATTGTCCTTGCCTGTGCGGCGACAAAAATCGTCGAGATCTCGGAGGGTGTTGAAATCGAAAGTGCCAGTCAGGGGCCAGTGTGACTGGTTACTGAGTTTGTATTGGGGCCAAGCCACCTGGGACAGGAAGACAAGCTTTTTCTTTCTGAGGGTTTGGGAATATCCCAATTTGGTAAAATTTCGCAGCAAGCACCCAAGGGGGGTGCTGAGAGGTATTTTGGACTCCGAATTTCCCATGGCAGGCGCAGCTACAGACCCTCCGGCGCGGATGGGCAGATGCAACGAAAAGGCGTCCCCGTTCATTGCAAATTCCCCGGAGTACAATTAAGTACGGATAGGGAAGCGGTCAGAGGGGCGTCCCCCGTCTGGCGGCTGTCCCTCGGAAGGCTCCTGGAGCCAGAACGGAGGACTTCCTCGGCTCAGCCGAGACTAGGTGAGGAGTCCGTGCGGAACGCCGGAGGGGAGCAACTGCACCGTGCCGTAGGAAGAGGAGAGGGGGGCGGGGGGAAGGCAAAGCAAGAAAAACTTGGCTTACCTTAATCGGAGCGTGGAGGTGGCAGGGCCAGTGTTGGGTAGGTCGGGGAGAGGGGGGCCGTGGCCGGGCCAATGGCCCCTCCCGTCCCGGGTTTCGGCACCACTGATCGACCTACCCTCTGCGGGAAGACTGAGCTCGTTGGGAAAGAAACTGGAATGCAGGCTAGAAGAAAATCCTTAAGTTCAGGCTTTATTGAGAGAAAAGAGCCTCCGGGCGGGCCAGCCGGGACGAAAAGGAAAAATGGCCGCGCCGCTCAGAGGGGCAGGGTTGTTTTATAGGGAGCTGAAGGGCTGAGGGAGTGGGGAAGCTGAGAAAGCCGAGGTGGTGCGCAATGTTTGGTCAGTTTGAACCGCTGGGCGGGAAGCCGGGCGGCGGGAAGCCAGGGCGGTGGGAAGCTGGGGAGTGCTGATGAGGCAGAAGCTGGGCGGCGGGAAGCTGGGCAGCGGGAAGCTGGGGAGTGCTGATGAGGCAGAAGCTGGGTGGCGGGGAGCTGGGGAGTGCTGATGAGGCAGAAGCGGCGGGAGGTGGCTGCGGCCGGGCGGGAGGGCTAGGGCGGTATGTAGAGTGAGAGATAAGGGAGCCTCTTTGTGGGGGAGGGAAAGAGAGAGCTTTTACGGTAGGGGCAGAGTTTTCCAAACATTATGTAGGGAAGGTGTTCATAATGCTGTGAACACATGTAGTAGTGTCATTTGACCTAGTCTTGGGGCTCAAAGATGGCCTCCTTGAAGAAGTGACTGTGGAGCTGACTTGAACAATGAGTAGGAGTTAAGTGGATGAAGTCTTGTCATGGGAGAAAGTGTGGGGGTTTTTGAGGAACTGAGACAAGTGTGGTTTTATGACCAAGAAGTGTCTAGAGAAGTAGTGACTAGACCAGAAAAAAGCTTGTGGGCCAAATAAGATTTTGATTTTTACGCTAAAAATACTGGGCACAGTGGCTCACTTTGGGAGGCCAAGGCAGGCAGATCGCTTGAGCACAGGAGTTCAAGACCAGCCTGAGCAACATAGATGAGACCCCATCTCTACAAAAAAAAAGAGAGAAAAAAATTAGCTGGGTGTGGTGGCACATGCCTGTGGTCCCAGCTACTTGGGATGCCAAGGTGGGAGGTCACTTGAGCCCAGGAGTTTCGAGGCTGCAGTAGCCTGATCATGCCACCAAACTCCAGCCTGGGCAACAGAGCAAGATGTTGTCTCTAAAAAGTAAATAAATAAAATTCACAAAGTATGCAATAGTCACGCAAAGGCACAACAATAAATGATGCAGCACAAAAGTGCTCAGTCCGTATTGGTTATTGTTTTTGCACTGCACGCGGTAGGAGTTGCTCCTTACAATTTTTGCTTTGTGAACATTTATTCCTTGATTTAACCCACAACCACTACAACAACAGCCACTGTCACTCTCTGCTTTACCAAAAATTGGGGGAAGTTGTCATACTTGTTTTATTATTCTTTAACTGTTATGGGTAAAGCTACATATTTCAACTTTTAATATTAAAAATGTTTTGAGTCTTTTTCTAAGAGACAATTTGGTGTTTCTTAAATAGAGGTTTAGTGATGTCTTTGTAACAGAAAGATGACACAGGAACTGAACTCTTGTTTCTATCAATTAGCCTGTGTTCAAATTAGTTTTGTTATATGTTGTTTAACTTAAAATCAGTTTCCAACAAACTATCGATGAAGTTAAATGAGGACATACTTACTGTATTTGAGAAGTATTTTGGAGGTAAGTTGACAGGACTTAGATATAGTTTGGTTTTGAAGACTGAAGGGAAAAAGATGAAGGAGATGAAGGTCTCAAAGCTGACATTTTTGATTCGGCAACTGCTTGGATGGCAGTACCTTTCACTGAGATAGGAAGTGCAAGAGGAGCAGGTGGCCATCATGGAGAGATGCTTAAATATGGGAAATTAACACTAATCTGAGAAATGCAAGAAAGTATTTCTAAGTTTTTTTTTCAGAATAGAAATATATCTTTGTTGTTTTGCTGTTTATAAAAGTAATATGTTCTCTTTGTAATTATTTAAACAACATAGAAGTACTCCCTGTCTCAGTATCATCCCCCAAGACCCCACCCCAAGAAGGAATTTTCCATCACCTTGGGTAACTTTAATCAAGTACTGTTTAAGGCCAGGGACTTGTTTCTCAGTATCATGGGACTATTCTAATTTTTTCTGTACTGGATCAAATTGGAAACAGTACATTGGATCACTTTACAGACAGTTTATTAGGTTCCTTTTTGAACAACTGTCTTGTGTTTTACCTTCATTTCCCTCTTACCTATTTGTGTACACATTGGATCATCCTTTAACCAGTGTACTCTCCAGAAGAGATTTCTAGACCACTTCACCATTTTGACCATTTTGAAGTATACAATTCAGTGCATTAATTTTCAGTGTTACGCAACCATTGTCACTGTCTAATTCCAAAGTTTTTCATCATCCCAAACAGAAACTCTGCCCATTAAGGAGTAACTCCTCATTACCCCTGCCCGCAGCCCCTGGTTTACCTGTAATATACATTCCATCTCCTTGAACATGCCTATTGTAGATATTTCATGTAAATGGAATCATACAATATTTGTCCCTTTGTCTCTGGTTTCTTTCACTTAGCATAGTGTTTTCAGAGTTCATTTGTGTATAGAATGTATCATTCCTTTTTATGGCTGAATAGTATTCCATTGTGTGTGTGCACTGCATTCGGTTTATTCATTCATCTGTCAACAGCCACTTGGGTTGTTTCCACTTTTTGGCTACTGTGAGTAATACTGTGAGCATTGTGTTTGAGTGTCTGTTTAGCCCTAGTCTCATATCTTTTGGGTTTATACTGAGGAATGGAATTGCTCTGTCATTTGGCAATTCTATGTTTTAACTTTTTGAGGACATGCCAGACTCTTTGCTTTCTTAATTATGATAATGCTTAAATGAATATCTGTTTGCATGAAGCATTTTTGACACTTCCTCTTATTTCTTTAAATTCCTTGAAGTGAAATTAATGGGTCAGCAACAGTTTGAGACACCATGCTAAGTGGTATCTGAAAGGCTTCAACCTCCTTTGCTGCTGCCACAAATGTCTGAGAATGCCCTTGTCACCAAACCAATATGGCACTTAATATTTCACTCTTTTAAATGTTGGAGAATATGGTTGTCCATTTCTGATGGAACCATAGTCTGGTGACAGAATGGCTTATTTGACACAGCTCCTGATCACCAGCCCTGAGTTCTCCCTCCAATTCCCCTTATCCCTGGAGCTGATCCAGCCCAGTCTATAGTTCCTGTTGACCTAACTTCCCAACCATCTCTAGTCTAGTCACTTCTCCCCAACTGCCCAGGAAGGATGAGGTCGGTTTGACCTGTAAAAGGTGACCTTTTCTAAAGAGTTTTTTAAAAAAGTCCTCTAACTCTGGGCTTCCCTCTGCCACTGTGCCTTCTCTTTAGAAGGCCTGAGGCCTCTGTGGAGTTTCCTACTTTGGCTGCTTCTCACAGCTTTTCCTGTCTTTCATTCCCGCTCTTCTTCAGTTCTACAGCGAGTCGGGCATGCCTACCAAACATCTTTCAGACAGCGTGTGTGCTGTGTGTGGCCAGCAGATCTTTGTGGACGTCAGTGAAGAGGGCATCATTGAGAACACATACAGGCTGTCTTGCAATCATGTGTATCCTGCCTCGAGCTCCTGAGCCACATCTCTCCTGCTACCTGCACACTCCAGTCAGGGAGAGAAAGGGGGTGGTCGTGACCCTAGGTGGGCTGTCCAGACCCTTGCATGTAGGAGGGCCACAAGAGGGCCGCCTTCCCTGCCCTTTCCCACGGATCAGAGCCACTCTTATGTAAACAGTGGTTACACTCTGGTTGGGTCTGAGAGGAACCTGAGGCTGTAGCTAGTGAAGGAGTGCTAGCAGACCTGAGGTCAGACCAGTCACAGGGGAAGAGAACCTCTAATGGGATCCCTTAGTTTAGCATCAAATCCCCTATTCTGAATAACACTTGTAATATGTATCATGTATTTACTCAGCTCCCATTCAATGCCTCTGTTGGGAGAGCCATGTATCATCTCCATTTTGTCCCATGACAGTCTTGTGAGATGGGGATCATTACCCTTACTTCACATGCGAGGAAACAGGTTCAGACAGAGGGACTTGCCCAAGATTATAGAGCTGATAAAGAGCGAAGCCAGGATTTGAACCTTTCAAAGACTGGCGTGGGGCTGGAGTGCCTCCCTGGCTCCCACCATTTCCCTTGACCAGTAGTGCTCAGCTTCCACGAGTTCTGCATCCGCGGCTGGTGCATCGTGGGAAAGAAGCAGACGTGTCCCTACTGCAAAGAGAAGGTAGACCTCAAGAGAATGTTCAGCAATCCGTATCCTTTATTGGGGTCCTTGTTGGGAGTGGGCTGTGGGAAGAAAGTACTGGTCAGTGTGACATGCATTTGGGCCTTCTTGGGGCCCTCCCCTCTGCCCCCAACCAGAACATCTTGAACCATGATGGGAAGCTGAGCTGCTAGTCCTGCCCCATGATACACACCCAGTCTCCCTATTCTAGGAGTATTGCCTGTTCTCAGCCTCCTTGCAGCCATTGTCACGGATAGATAGATTTATGGCTGCCTCACACTGACAGTTTCTTCTTAGAGAAGGTGTTACAGGAGGCCCTCCCTGTATGTTGGTCATGGGGAACTAGGATTTTTCTCTCCATTCCTTCAGGTCTGTCCTGTCTCCTGTACCAGTCCCCTCTGTCCTACATTCTGCATTCTCTGTGTTCAGCTTTTTACTCCAACGGACAGGCTGTGAGGAGGAAGAGGAGGGGGAGGGCGAAGTCGGGAGTGCTGGCTGAGTAGGAGTAAGGCTGGGTGGGCCTTTCCAGAAAGCAGTCTCCATTCCTCTAGGCTGTGGAGGAGCTGGAAAGTGGGGCAGACCCAGGGAGCCCCCGCACCCATGCTAGCTCACCCCTGGCAGCTCTTGCACAGAGCCTCTTTAACACACTGACAGCTGGGAGAGGCCTCACGTCATGTATGGGCAGCTGCTAGACTGGCTTCGATACTTGGTAGCCTGGCAGCCTGTCATCATTGGCTTAGTCCAAGGCATCAACTACATCCTGGGCCTGGAATAGTGACGAAGAGCATCATTGGAGAACCCACCCCACACGCCGCGGACCTCAGGGCACTCTCCTCCCTGCCCACAAAGAACTCCTGGGTGGGAAAGACTCAAAGGGGTGCTTGGTCCACTCAGGACCCCTCCAGCTGTGTCGGACTAGGGAGGGATATGATGGAGAGCCAGCCAGTGGGTCTGTCAGCAGTGGGGCTTTTTAAAAGAAAACTATTTTGATGAATATATTTAAAAACCCCTTTTTTATTGTGGAGCATAGGAATTGCCCCCCTCCAGGCTTCACCCTCCCTGTCTAAGCAGGGTGGGGGCAGAGCCATATTTTTGGTTTTAAGGA